ATAATGTCCTCCAGTGTCACCCATTTTGAATAATATTGCATGAGTTCCTTGTTTTTCAATGCAGCATAGTATTCCATTGTGTGACTATACCACAGCTTCTCTATCCATTCTTTTGTTGATGGGCACTTAGGTTGTTTCCAACTCCTTGCTATTGTGAACAAAGCTGCAATAAACATGGGTGTGCATCTTCTGTCATCTTTAGTCACCACCCAGCTCTCTGATGCATAGCAAATAATCGCTTGGATCAGGTGCACCTTAGTCTCTAGACAGACATGTTCTTTACCACTTTGAAGAGGTCTCTGACTGCAGATTTTCCTAATATAAATTGGGGTTTTTTTAATTTCCTGACTGCTAGTCCCAAGAGTGTTGATTGTGGAGCCAAACAAGATGAAATTGTTAACAACCACGGTCTCTTCTCCATCCAGCATTGTACTGCAAATTGGCCTAGTGGTGAGAATCTTTGTCTTCTTGATCTTAACCTTCAATCCATAGTGAAGGCTGCAGTCCTTGACCTTCTGCAGCAATCGCTTTGGGTCCTCCTCAGTTTCGGCAAGGTTGTGTCATCTGCATAACACAGGTTGTTGACGAATCTTTCTCCAGAATGATTTGTTCTGCATATAGATTGAAAAGGTATGGAGACAGGACACATCTCTGATGCACTCCTTTCCTGGTCTTGAACCACGCTTTGTTTCCTTGCTCTGTTTTAAAGGCCGCTTCCTGGTCCTAGTATACGTTTCACATGAACACAATAAGGGGCTCTGGGATTCCCATTCTTCTTAAGGTCATCCACAGTTTGTTGTAATTTGCATAGTCAATGAAGCACAGATAAACATTCTTCTGGTACTCTCTGCTTTCAGTCAAGATCTATCAAATATTGGCAATGATGTCCTTAGTGCCACAGCCTCTTCTAAACCCAGGTTATATTTCTATTCCAGTCAGTTTTAGATAATCTTCAGCAAGATTTTGCTTGTGTGTGACAGTAATTATATTGTTCAATAACTTCCACACTAGTTTGGGTCATATGTTTTCTAATAGGAATAAATATGAATTCTTGCAGTCCATTGGCCAAGTCAAAACTATCATTAAGTTCTTCCAGTAAGTGCAGGCATTCTGAGGGGGAAATTTACTAAGGACTGGAATAGACAGAGAAGTTTTTTGGGGAAAAAAATTTCTCAATTCTAGATAGTAGGCAATATTGAAAAAGAGGAAAACCAAGTAGACTTAGGCTTTTCTTTGGAGCATTGAGTTTCATATAATATGCACTAGTATTTTGAAAGATCGGTAGTCAGAAAAAGTGGACTTGGTGACAAAAATGAGGCTGGAGATAGAATGAGAGAATTCTGTACAATC